TGAACGGGACCCGCATCTCTTCGGTTCATGGCCGCACTCTGCTCTCGTTTTTGTATTGAGGTCGTCGACCCTTGTTTTGTTTTGTTTGGGAGCCTTAATGCGGTCGTCGACGCTTGCTTTGTTTTGTTTGAGAGTCTTAATGCAGTCATCAACCCTTGTATTATTTGTTTGAGACTTAATGCGGTCATCAACCCTTGTATTATTTGTTTGAGAGTCTTAATGCAGTCATCAACCCTTGAATTATTTGTTTGAGAGTCTTAATGCAGTCATCAACCCTTGTATTATTTGTTTGAGAGTCTTAATGCAGTCATCAACCCTTGAATTATTTGTTTGAGAGTCTTAATGCAGTCATCAACCCTTGTATTATTTGTTTGAGAGTCTTAATGCAGTCATCAACCCTTGTATTATTTGTTTGAGAGTCTTAATGCTGTCATCAACCCTTGAATTATTTGTTTGAGAGTCTTAATGCAGTCATTAACCCTTGTATTATTTGTTTGAGAGTCTTAATGCAGTCATCAACCCTTGTATTATTTGTTTGGGAGTCTTAATGCAGTCATCAACCCTTGTGTTATTTGTTTGGGAGTCTTAATGCAGTCATCAACCTATGCATTATTTGTTTGAGTCTTAATGCAGTCATCAACCCATGCATTATTTGAGTCTTAATAGTCATCAACCCTTGCACTATTTGAGTCTTAATAGTCATCAACCCATGCATTATTTGAGTCTTAATAGTCATCAACCCATGCATTATTTGAGTCTTAATAGTCATCAACCCATGCATTATTTGAGTCTTAATGCAGTCATCAACCCTTGTATTATTTGTTTGAGTCTTAATGCAGTCATCAACCTATGCATTATTTGAGTCTTAATAGTCATCAACCCATGCATTATTTGAGTCTTAATAGTCATCAACCCATGCATTATTTGAGTCTTAATAGTCATCAACCCATGCATTATTTGTCTTAATAGTCATCAACCCGTGTAATTGCAAACTCCTACTTAAAGTTGGCAGCACTAGACTCTTACTTAAGGTTGGCAGTCAAGGACTTAGTGCAATTATGCATTAAGATTTAACCTTTTTTTTTGTTAGTTTTATATATATTTTGAAGAGTTTTGAATAACTCTTGTTGAACGAAAACAAAATATTGTTTGAAATTTTTCATTAAGATCAGATTATCATTGTCTTCATTTAATTACCTGATCACTTAAGGTTTTGGTAAAGAATTCAGACATTTAATTTTGTAAATTTACGTTTTATTGATAATTGTTTTTAAACAAAAGTTCTTCTTAAATTGGCTTATTATATATATATATAATTTTTACAATAGATACTTGGTATGTGTAAGGGTCATAAAACACTATATTTCGGTTTGAATCGCATTTATGTCTACAAACTATTACATTCTATAATAATTGAATATATGCTATATATGCAAAACACATAATGCTAGGTGCACATATTAAATAATAAATCAATAAATTAAACTTTTTTAAATTTTCATCTTTAGAAACTAAACCATTTTGTCTTGCTATATAAATCCAACAGAAACTGGAAAAAGCTTCTATTGGTATAAATCAACACTTGACACAAGAGTGACGAGAGTGTCACGGGCTCTGTGGGGAGATGAGAGTGAAAAACAGGGCCGCCCTCTATCGAAATGTAAGACCAAGGCACTTGAAACACTGGACGTTCACCTGGGCGACCCTTCCGGTTAGTGGTTGTCAACTGCGTTAAATTTTGTGTGGAAAGTTTGTGTAGCACCCCCAGCCCAGGTGGCGCGCCGGGCCGTGGCGGGAGTCTGGCGCTGCAGGTCACATGCTGGAGGGCACCACACGCTGGCATGTTGCTCGTACGGCAACGTCCGCACAGCGTTGGTGCCCTCCTGTGTTGTAGTGGCAACTGCAGAGGTGGTGCCAGGCCATGGCGCGTTGTAGTGGCAGCAGAGGGGGGGGGGGGGGTTAGGGGGGTGGGTTATGCCAGATAACGGCAGTCGGAGAAGCTGCCACGATGAGTGGCAGCAGGAGGGAGAGCACCAAGAGAGGGGGATAGGGGTCCACAAACTTTATACTTGATAATTTTGCCTTCGGTTTGGTCTTGTGTTACTGCTGTTGCAGTGTGTCCCCACAGAACCAGTGTTTCAGAAAACACCAGAAAGTTATCAACCAATCGAGCCCTGAGCCTGGTGAAGCGACCTGATACTGTCTGTACAAGGAGGGTCAGGGCTGGATGGTTCAGGCCCCTCGACACACACATGTCGAAGGAATGGACATCAAGAGCGTCATCAACGGTTACAACAAGCCTGTAGTTGAACTGGGAGAGAACATGTAACATCAAATCAAACATGGAATAGCTCTGATTCAATAACTATGGAATACTTCAACCACGGTCCTCTGACTTAATGACTCGCTGACGTCTGGTAGCGTCAGCCCAGTCAGAACGGACCTCATTACAAACTAGCTTCTGGAAGCAGACACTTAACTGTTCTTTTACACTCTAAGGTATGGACTAGACTGGAAAAAAACATTGGTTTGGTTGCTGCTAACCCGTACGCCGGTCAGCTGGGGTTAGTGGAAAAATAATAGAGATATGTAGAATGTTAGAAAGAAATAGATTATTTTTTTTAGAGTCCACAAAGAGAGTATGGAATGCATATAATCACCTTAAAAACCTTTTTTTTTAAATTTGATTTTAAGAAAATATAGCATCAAAAAGACTAAAGTTCACGATCAATAGGGAAACAATCCTCATACAAAAGCATTCACATCACTACCCATTTCTAAGGTGCCTAATTTGTTAACGTCCCTGGTACGGGTGTGGAGCAGGAGCAGGGAGATGGCAAGAGGGGAGCGGAGCCCCGGGGTACTTGAGACGCCCCCCCTCCCGCCCCCGGGGTCATGGGGCACCCCCCCGGGGTCATGGGGCACCCCCCCCCGGGGTCTTGGGGCGTCCCCCGGGGCCAGCCGCACCTGCTGCTCCACCTTCTCACGCACACAACCCACGTTGTGGAATGTCATAAAAACGCCTAAATGGAAGTACCAGACGATTAACGCGGTTGTACATTTAGCACCAAAGTTTTGGTTTGAAAAGCATTATTACCATATGTCTTGATAATGTACTGTCTATGGCATTTTGAATAGCATACAATGGTAAATTACAAAAAAAATACAAAATCAATGAAGAAATATGACATGAGCATAATAGAGTGCCAGAGACAACACATTGTCAACTAGCTCTGCATGTTCACACAACTTTACTGACAAAGAACACTGAACTGTACTGAGGGTGGCGTAGACCTCTCCCCACACTGACGGTCAGTGTTGCAACTCTGCACCAGAGAGAGAGGCGCTACACCACCATAACTACGCCGACAAAAATCCACTTGTGACTTCTGCTAATACATTTGTTTTGACATGATAATAATTGTCCATGTGTCTTTTTGGTTTTGTAATTATTAGAAACAACTTGCATGAGTGGAAAGCTTCGAGACAGATTGACAGCTCTATCTACAAAGCTTCAAAAAACAGAAACCCTATCACCATATTGGTTAGTTTGTTAGTAGAGCAAAAGTGCACTACGGAAGAAGAGGGAGGGTGGGGGGGAGGGAAAGATTAGTCAGATCTGAGCAGACTGGAGATCACTTTGATAATCATACTTTGGGTCAGGTTCCTCAACATAGATAACTGTTTACGCCTGGGACTGTATCACAACAGACCGGAGATTCATTCATCTGACTAGATCTCACATACGATGTCTTCTTGCAGTCAATCTTAGTTTACGACCACCACAAAGCAAGGCCACTTTGGTTTGTCTTATGCTCGCAGGAAACTCGCCAAACGCAGGTGGTTGTGAGCAAGTGTGTCTTTGACTTGGGATATTGCCTTCTTGTGGTGAGAGGAGGAGGAGGGGGGCGGGCGCGGGCGGACCATTGACCACCTCTTGTACAGTGGGCGTAGTGGCGCCTACAACATGGGGGGGGGGGGTAGGGGGCTGTTGCCCGCAGCCCTCTGTGGGCCCCGGCCAGTGTGTGTGCCCCCGGGACCATACTATGAAGTGTATGGGCTTTTGACTGTGTGGTTTGCTATTATAATTTGGTAACTGGGAACCACCATCAACAACTATCCTACATGCATGACTTAGAACTAGGGGCCTTAATTGAGAATCAGTGCAAAAATCAAAAATAAAACAGACTAAAAGTAAAAACTAGGACCTGGGTAGCTAGCATGTGACTAGGAAACTCGTGCATGCGTCGCAGCGCATGACTTGAGAGGTGTGTGGTGCAGGTAGGTAGGGGGGCGTCGAGGCGCCCCCGCTAGCGAGGCTCAGGGGGGGCGGCCCCAGCCCCAAATTGGGAGGCGCCCGGAACATCGGAGACGGCGGCGGGGGGCAGCGGGGGGGCTGGTTTTCGGGGCTATGGCAGCATCGCCCAGATGGGCTCACATGGCCGCGAGTTCACAAGTCATCCTCTCGCTCGAGGAAACAAACAAGGGGGAACAGAGGAGTAAACTATATACAAAGTTGGGTACACTGGGCTGTCAGAAAGATCTCATCATTGGTACTGGAAGGCATGGAAAGGCACAAATGCTTTGTCTCATAGATATTCACAATAAATCAAGGCTACAACATTTGGACAAAATGAGAGACATGCACCTTCAATATTTGTATCATGATAATAATAAAAGAATGCCCATATAACAGTCCTCCATCTTAGCCTTCTTATGAACATGTCTTCCTTGATATAGTCTAGCCTTAGGCCGCTCAGTCACTGGTATATACAGAATCTCTATCTCCTAGGTGTTGCAGCTGAGGTTGCCGCAGCTGTTGATGCTGCAGCTGAGGTAGCTGCAGTTGAGGTTGCTGCAGCCGAAGTGCCAGCCGAGGTTGCAGCATGTGAAGACGCTGCAGTTGAGGGTAGTGCTGCAGAGGGAGGGTGTGCGCGGGGCGCGGGGGGTGGGGGGACCGCCAGAGCCGGGTGTCCTCCGGCTGGGGCGGGGGAACACCGCTACTCGAGCTGCTCCAGAAACGTCGGAGACTTGAAGTACTCCGGTACTGTTTCGTCGAGACGCGCGATCACCTTGTAGATGGCTTTCTTCCAAGACTGCTCCTGGTCCTTCTGCTCCTGGATCGCCTTGAAGAACTCCTTTAACGTCTGTTCAACGACGTATCTAAAGTGCTCAGGGATCTGCTGGAACAAGAGCAGTGTCTAAATTAGTTATGGGTAATATATATATATATATATATATATATATATATATATATATATATATAATATATATATATATATATATATATATATATATATATTATATACAGATTTTAAATGCATATTACAAGTCAATTTCACACAATATATTCCTAATTCTGTGGTTTCACTGAATACCCGTTCCCATTGGCAGCCGCCCCGGGATCAGACCTCCCGCCCACTTTTCCCGCCAAAACTCCCCGTCCACCACCCACCGCCCCCCGCCCACCACCCCCCGCCCTCAGCTCTACATGACAACTACGAGAGAGCCACAAACCTCGAGGTGGTTGTTGCGGTTGTAGTGAAGGTTAAGAGCGCGGACGATCTCAGCGTCTAGCGTGACGGCGATGTCGTCGATGCTCTTGACCCCCTCACTCAGGTACTGCCGCGCATACTTCTCCATCTGGATGTAGTAAAACTCCCTGCAGAGAGAGAGAAAGGGCTCATATTAGCATTTATGTAATTATATAATCTCTTATAATTATTTACATTGGTTTATATGTCTTACGCTCTAGATTATGTTGTTACAAATGCACATACATTGGATGCTGACCCCGTCGCTTATAAAAGCCTCGGTACAAATTTTTGTTAAAACTACTAATTCCATAATCTTGTGACCCTAAAAGAACGCATCGCTGAAATGGTAGGAATTGCAGAATAGCGCCAGTGTGGCGTAGAGGAGCCATAGGCACAATACTCAACATTGTCTGAACATCAGAGGTGGTCCTCGGCTGTTCAATACCCTCCCAGCAAGCACAAGCTACATTACAGGAACAGAAGTGGACGTGTTCAAGATAACTTTACACACACTCCTTCAAGAAATACCGCACCAATCGGGTTGTGGTGGCTATGTGGGCCTGCGCGCCGCTCCAAGCAACAGTCTGTTGAACCAAGTTTTCACAAGTCAAGCCTGGCCCCGGGCCGGGCTTTGGGAGTAGAACAACTCCCAGATCCCCATTCCAGGTCCAGATACGGTATGGCCAATTATGACCACCACGTGGAAGCTCTGGAGAGAGTTAGGATCTTAGACAAGACGTTTTCAGTCACATAAGGGCTCTCGGACTAGGGAAAACAACAGTTCATGCTCCCACTAGACAAAGTGGGGTGATCACAGTACTCCTCTCAAGGGCTCACCGCTGTCCAAACAACTGAAGCAAGCGTCGACGACCGCATTAAGGCTCCCAAACAAAACAAAACAAGGGTTGACGACCTCAATACAAAAACGAGAGCAGAGTGCGGCCATGAACCGAAGAGATGCGGGTCCCGTTCACCAGCTGCATATTGACGAAGACAAACACCTACAGGCGGAGTACAAGGTATCAACGTGGAGGGAGAGAGGTTATACAGTAAAGCAGTACCAAATGAATATATTTGTGCGTGCGTGCGTGCGCCTCGACAATTAGCGTGGCGGGTGGAGTACATGAAACAGGCGCGAGAAGGCGCCGAGGGCGGGGAGCGACGCGCCACAAAGCAAAGACTAACGAAGCAAACAAAGCACATGTTAAAAATGGTCACGGATGATTAGAGACAATAAAGGGTAGAGGCGGAGAACACTAGAGGGAGAGAGAGAGAGAGAGAGAGAAAGACGGAGAAGGAAGTTGGGAGGGAGAGAGAGAGAGAGAGAGAGAGCGCGCGCGGCGCGAGCAGATTAAGAGGTGCCCACCAGTGGAAAAAAACTTATGAAAACGTATGAAAAAGAGAGAGACAGAGAGAGAGGAGAGAGAGAGAGAGAGAGAGAGAGAGACACCATACACACAGAGAGAGAGACACAAGGAGACACCACACAAGACACACAGAACCTCCCTCAATCAGTCCTGGGAGGGAGAAGAGAGTGAGAGAGAGAGAGAGAGAGAGAGAGAGAGAGAGAGAAGAGAGAGAGAGAGAGAAGAGAGGAGAGAGGAGAGAGAAAGACGGGAGAAGGAAGTTGGGAGGGAGAAGAGAGAGAGAGAGAGAGAGAGAGAGAGAGAGAGAGAGAGAGAGAGAGAGAGAGGGAGAGGGGGGGGGAGGGGAGAGGGGAGGGGGGGGGGAAGGAGGCTAGAGACCACAGGTGTGTACCAAACACCTGTGGTGCCCCTCACCTGTAAACACATTATTTTTTTTCATTGTGGGTTGCCGCTATACTGTCGACTCGTATTGTTGTTCCGTTATTTTCAAACGTCCGTTTTCCGTTTTTGCCCGTTAACGGTCATAGTATACGCCAGTGGGCGATGCTTATTCAGCGGCGTCAATGATTTGGGGCATCCTGGTCGTCCGCTTGAAGGTAGTGTTAGGTGGGGGCGGCGTATTGCTGTCAGGAGGAGGGGGGGGGAGAGGGGGTAGGGGGCGAGTGTGGCACAGATGACTCCATCACCCCCCCCCCCCCCTTCCTCTCTCTCTCTCCCCCTCCTCCTCCCCCCATCCCTCCCCCACCATATAGACACGACACATCGTCCCCAATCTCCTACAACACTCTCCCTGACACACTTCTCCCCCACCATCTCCCCCACCACCTGATCTATCGTCCTTCTTATCCTTCTCTCTCTTCCCCATTCTCTACTTTATCTCCTCGCCCTCTGGCTCTTCCAATAATTAGGGGATGTCTTTATAACCGAATAACAGTGTAAGTTGGAATGGTGAGAAGTAATGACAGGAGAAGGACTTGCAGAAGAGAGGGGGGGGTGTGCCGCGGAGGGGGAGACAGAAGGGGTGGTAGAGAAAGGGCAGGGAGGAGGGGGGGGGAGGAGATAAGGAAGGAAGCGAGAAAAGTAAATAGAATTAAAAAAAGAAACAGCATTGGTAGGAAACGAAAATTAAGCTTCTCACACAATTACTCGAAAATGATTCTAAATCCCCACACACACAAAAAAGGAAGTAGGAGAAAGAGGGGAATAGGGAAGAATGGAGAGGAAAGAGGGGAAGGCAATAAGTAGGAGGCACAACACACAGCTCGGCATGAAGAACAACAGCGGCCTGCTAAGTAAAGCAAGTTACAAAAGACGACGAAAGAAAAGTAGAAACTAAAGTTTCGGTTCATGAGGGGAAATGAGAGAACGGGGGGGGGGGGGGCGAGGGGAGATGGTGCAGCGATTGAAGGGGTTAAGAGAGGCAGAGGGGGGTGGGATGAGGGGGGGGGAGTGGGAGGGTGCAGGGAAGGGGGGGTGTAGGTTGGGGAGAGGTTAACGGGTCATTGATCTGCAGATTACGATAAGATAGCGCCAAATCCAGGTCACTCTGCTCAAAATTTGAGTTTGAAAAGGATGCATTATGTTATCTTTGCTTCATGTGCACATGCGCGTGTGTGTGTGCACGCGTGCGCGAGGTCAACACATCAACGTACACGGCTAAGAGATACTGACAGAGAACAGCAGCCGTTATTGAGGACACTATGCAGGTGATGACGAGTGAGGGAGCCCCGCCACAGTGTTCACCACCAATGTTGGTGCGGGAGCAGCGCCCCCCCCTCTCACCACCCATTTAAGATCACAGAGATGACTAGGTTGCCAGCATCGTCACTTAGGTCTGTTTCCAGCCCTCCCTCGGGAGACTAGCGAGAAGGCACAACCATCGCTGACTAAATCCTGGTTATGAGTCAGTGAGAGGGGGCAGGGAGGACACATGAGGGGGTGGGGGGGTCGTGAGGGAAGAGGGAGGGGGGGGGGAAGGTAGTTATCGGGGACCTGTAACTGGGTGGTTGAGATATGTGAGAACACAGATGCACATGGCCCATGGCCAGGCGAGGAAGGGTAGAGCCGGGAGGAACATAAAGGAAGAGAGAGAGAGAGAGCAAGAAGCACCGTGATAATCTCCAAGTCAAGAATAAGGTGTGAAGGTCCACAAACAGTCGAGGAGAGATCTTGGGGATGTCCGGCGCGACCACTAGCCACATATTCCCGTCCACTCCCAGCCCTGACGGCCCCGAGGACCACCACCAGCCCCGAGGACCACCACCAGCCCCGAGGACCACCACCAGCCCCGAGGACCACCACCAGCCCCGAGGACCACCACCAGCCCCGAGGACCACCACCAGCCCCAAGGACCACCACCAGCCCCAAGGACCACCACCAGCAACCCAGAGGACCACCACGAACCTCCCCCAGCGGCTGCCTTAACCTCATACGAGAATCTTGCCGGGTCGTTGGCTCACCGCTTACCCACATCTCGCAAGGCAGAGAGTTAAGTTAATTGCCTAAATGTATGGCCCACTAGCAGCCTCCATTTGTTCGCTTGGCTGCTCAGGTCTTGTCAGGAGGTAAAACTTGTGATAGATGAGCCCCGCGTACGCGCGCAATCATACACCCCCCCCCCGCCCCCCCCTCTCTCCACCCACTGAGAAAATGAGCTTCGTGGCCTGGAACAGCTTGAACAACACACTCTCAAACCCACTCTAATGTTATCTTCAAAGACACGAGTAAAACTACCCAGCCAACAAAGGTCGCACGCAGACAAGGGGTAATTATATGACCAAAAAGGCCGGCAACAAATGGCATTGCGCGCGGAAACATCTGTGACTTTGTAAACAAGAACGCATCTCCTCGACTTCCTCAAAAATATGTGTTAATTAGGCTAACGAGGCCACAGATAAGGCCGGAGATGCCGAGGACTAGACCCCTAAACGACTCCTCCGAGGGCAATTTGGCCCATATAAATCTAATGCCAACTTGAATGTGAAATGTGGCAAAGTCAGCGTTAATGAGGAGTAAGAAATCTCAGAGGCCGCGATAACCACGACTCTGGATTTGGTCACAGTGAGAAGCACTAACAACCTTTACTCTGGCTAATGTGTGTCTGTCTTAATGAATATTTAAGATGGGGTGACTTGGAGCCAGCGGTGTGATATGAGTCTGGAGGTTGGACCAGCCACACTCACCCCCTCACCCACAAGTCTACGGATGACACCCGCCATGTTTCATTTAGTTGATACCCATTTATTAAAACTGAAAATTATTTTCATCATCCAACCCGTCCTCTTGACGATACTACGTCGCATTTTGACGTATACACCCCACGTCGCATTTTGACGCATACACCCCCACGTCGCATTTTGACGTATACACCCCCACGTCGCATTTTGACGTATACACCCCCACGTCGCATTTTGACGTATACACCCCCACGTCGCATTTTGACGCATACACCCCCACGTCGCATTTTGACGTATACACCCCCACGTCGCATTTTGACGCATACACCTCCACGTCGCATTTTGACGCATACACCCCCACGTCGCATTTTGACGTATACACCCCCACGTCGCATTTTGACGTATACACCCCCACGTCGCATTTTGACGCATACACCCCCACGTCGCATTTTGACGTATACACCCCCACGTCGCATTTTGACGTATACACCCCCACGTCGCATTTTGACGTATACACCCCCACGTCGCATTTTGACGTATACACCCCCACGTCGCATTTTGAC